CCAGTTGATTGTGCGGGTTCTCGGCCCTTTGTGGGAAATGGCTTGCTCTCTCTGCCATTGTTCTGAGCACCTCCTGAACGAACTCCCTGTGTTCTCAGAGACTGTTAACAGTGGGTGACAATGTGCAACATGCATCTGTCCCTTGGGTGAGCCCGGGACAGGAAGGGATAATTAGAATTCACATGGGGGCTGTGGCCTCAGCATTTCAACAGTTAATCATGCCCGGATCCACTCAAGTAAATGGAACACTGCGAGAAGGATTGCCAGTGAAATATGGAGGAAGACTCCCAGGCCCACCTCCCTGGGGTGGCCTGAGGACCCCCTTCTCCTCGCATGCACACACCTTCTTCTTAAGACTCTCGTGGGGTCCCATATATCTTGGGAATTGGATCCTAGGCAAGTGCCCCCCTCCAGGCCTGCCTTCTGTGAAGGGAGGGTCGTGTGGGGGATAAGTGGCCAGGAGTAGATGAAGCTAGTGAGGAGAGAAACGGGGTGCTGGAGATGTGGGAGCCCCTGAAGGAAGGGGCACCCCTCTCCGTTAACTGTGGCCTCACTGGTTAGCAGATGCTGCCGCCAAGCTCACACAGTGCGAAGCCCCCTTGCAGGGGTGTCAGTTAAAGGAGCCATAGTGCAGTGTAAGGCTGGCCAGGGTTCAATCCCTGACACTCTGTATGGCCCCTTGAGCACAGAACCAGTAGTAAGCACTAAGCACTGCCAGGTTTGGACTAAAAACAGACAAGATGGATGGCAGTGGGCTTCCGGGGCGGGGGGGGGGGCAGGGGGCATCAGCCTGGCAGCCACAAAGGACTGCCTCCAAGGACACTGTGTTACTCTCCTGGGTGAGCATCTCTCTGACCAGGCTGTACCCCAGACCTCCAAGACTTGGGGATTTGCTGACTCGCAGAGCCATGTAGCATTTTCGGTCTCCGAACGCGCTTGTGAGACCAGCGTCTCCGTAGCGCTATGCTTCCTGGAGCTGTGAGTCACCCTCTGTACTCCCTTTCCCCCTAAGATACAAATGGGCACTTCGCCATCCTCTCCCTTTCCCCTGCCCGCTTTGGATTTGTAATCAACAGCCTCCACATTTTCTATGGGAAACGTGCGTTTTTTGTAATCTGCTCTGTTGACTCCCTGTTGAGTTTATTTTTGTTTTCCTCTCTTGTTCGGTGTGTGTGTTTTCTGGTTTCCTACCCACCTGTTGCGTTTATATGCCGAGGCTTCCGTTTTCTGGCTATCCCCAGCCCCAGGCTCCACGGCAGTGTCACCGAAGCCTGGAGCCTGCTCACCTTCATTCCATGGTGTTGGCACAAGTCATGTGCTTGCTGCCAGTGGGAGTGTGCTGCTTTCCCTCCTTTCACTTTTCACCCATCTGGGTCATCTCATGAAGGTCTTTCCATGGCAGGTTTCTAGCAGAGAACACCTGCAGCCATAGCCCTTCATATTTGGAGAACTGCATTGTCCGGTAATGTCACCGGTATGCAAATGACACAGCATCCTCGTACACACATCAGGTGGTGTTCAAAACAGGAGATGGCAACTCGGCACACTTGGCTCGGCAGCAGCCCAGGGAAGGGTATTCCTCCACACCCCGCTGTGCTCTCTGGTAGCCCCTACCCATCCTGTTCTGGACACCATCTGATTATCTGCCTTTTGAGTTGGGGGTTGGGGCATTTCTAGCTAACTTAATTGCCAATATGGTGAACCCCGCGTTATGTGGCCATCTATTTGCCCCATCTGTTCTTGTTCCCTTTTCCTTTCACTTTCTTTCGGGATTATCTTTTAGAACTGCTTGTGGCTTATATTAGCATGGGGCCTTTCTGAGGCCAGCAGTCGCATTTTGTCTTCTGCATATGTTAGCAAGCCCCTGCTGCCTCATTACTCGGTGCTCAGAATGGTCAGTGTTTCGAGCTGAAGTGTGTGCTGCAGCCCTGCACCTTTGCATTCTTGGTATCCTTCCTTCCTCGATGCGTGACCACCTTTTTCTGCGGTCTTACTTTCCTTGGGCCTTTTTCTGAACTAGCGTCCTGTCCTGCAGGGCCAGTGGCTCAGTGTCTTCTCAGCTTTGGCCCGGCCATGAAAGGGTTTTTGATACGCCTCTCTTTATCTCAGAAAGGGTATTTGCCCTGAACGGATAGTTCTGGGAGGACAGTTTTCCGCTCAGCAGTTGTTTGTGTTCGTCACTTTGCTGGCTGGCACATTTTCTAAGGAGTCAGTGATGGCCCTTATCTCTCTCCGTCTGTGAAGAACGTCTTTCCTCCTCTGGCTGCTTTAGGGTTTTTTCTCCTTCTCCCTGATTTCCCACCACAGCACTCTGCCCTGTTACTGGTTTCATGCGTCAGCTTATAGTGGTTCTTGGGCTCCCTGCCCCTTCCTTCATGCTCCCGCCTTCCGTTGCGGGGGGGCTCCATGCCAGGCCGCTGTTGTTCACCCCTGCATCACAGAGCATAGTTTCCCGAGTTTTTTCTTCCTGACTTGTATTTGGTTGTGTCTTAGGCCTCCTGTCTTTTTTTCTCTTGGTGGTATTTGATCTGTTGTTCACATCCAATGAAAGTGTCCGCTTCCGGGAGTCCCACTTGGTTCAGGCTTATTGCCTCCATTTCTCTTGTTCTGGTTTTCAGTGCTCGTCCCCACTCCAGCTAGCTGCCGCACTTTTGTGATGTCCCTCAGCTGTCCTGTCTGGGTGTTTCTGTTCAGTTTTCTTTGCTGCAGAGCCCAGTTTTCTACTTCTTGGCACTTTGACCATGTGGGTCAAATGCGGACATGGTGGAGATTATGTGGTTGACTGTTTTGAACATGAGAGTTGGAGTGCTTATTTGTGGACTGGTCTCATCCCTTAGGTCTAGGGGTGCTTTGCCCCAGGAATAGATCAACGTACTAAGGCATCACCTGGCGGCCTCTTCTAAGCACCTAGGTCACTCCAGGAACACTACTGTTGGGGGGGGGGGGCAGGAGGGCAGGCACATTCTTTTGGATTCCCTTTCCGCATGCCTGACTTAGTGTTTAGGAAGAGCTCCTGGGCAGCCATGTGCAGATTTCTAGAAGTTCTTTTTCTGCATGGCTTCCCTCCTTTCTGGAACTCTGCTCAGTACCTTCTGGTGGCCAACCCAAGTAATAGTCTGTGTTTCCTCGATTTCAGGACACACCCAAGCTTGGCTTGGGGCCCTTTAGTCTGTAACGTCACCTGAAACCTGGCCGTCAGGTGGACCTTGTGCTGGCTCCTCTCTTGTGCTCTCTTGCTGAGCATCTGGATTCTGCATTACCTGCCAGCTCAGGAGTCAAAACTGCCACGGCTTGCAGACTGGCCAGTTTGCTCTTTCTTCATTTATAGCAGGACATTCGGTTCCTCATGACTCCACCCTGGCCAGAGCAGAAGTCTCTGCCCGTTGCTGTTCGCAGAGCCTCAAGTTGGATCGCTAGTCTTGATTGTCTTGGTTTTGTCTCTCTTTACCTAGTGGGAAAGGGCTGCTTTTTCGGTCAATTACCAAGTGAGTGGAGTAGCCCTGACACCAGAACAGCCCCTTTGTTCTATTTCTTTGAACCCGCTGGAGCAGGCGGCCTCTGCCGTACTGTTACCTTACACTTCACACTTTCGCAGCCTGAAAAGAAAAGGTAACGTGTACATATTACTCAGACCTTTTATTTAGCGGCTCTGTGTTGGAAGAGCAGTCTTTGAGACTGCTTCGGTTCAACTGTTCATTTTGCCCACCCCACAATACTGAAGGAATGTTCTCTCACACCCGCTTTCTCCTCATCACCCAGAGCCTTTGCCATGGACCAGGGCGTGGCCATACAACGCTTTGCCCTGCCCTGGAAGCCTGGCCCCATGCTGTGTGTCTTGCCTCTTTCTTCTTCAGTGTCTGATCCATGTCTTTGTTTCCTGCAAAACCAGAAAGAATCTCCTGCTTCCGGTCATTTCTACTGGTATTATTTTGGGGTTTTGGACACTTAAGCCCTCTGAGAACTTATTCCACACATGCCCATTCCAGACCCTCTCCCCAGCTCCCAACCCTGCCTCTTTCCCTCCTGGATTCAAGGACTGATTGTCCCTGGGAATTCTTTCCACAGTGCCTCGGTGACTCACAGGCAAGGAGTGATTGCAGCTGCACCCCCAGCAGAGGACTCCGGCACACCCAGGCCACAAACGCGTGGGTAAGGACACCCCTTCCACTCCCCACTTTCCCCTACCACCAGCTTGGTCACCTGCCTCCGTCCTACTGCTAGCAGTCGGGTGGGTCTGCCAAGCCCTGGCTCCTAATGGCCCAGCTCAGAAAGACTCAAACGTCTCTTACTGGGAGAGAAACTCAAGACTGGCCACTGCCCTCTGACTCCCTTTCAGGACTGACATGCCAGCTTGTGTGCACCATCAGGACCTGCTCGCAAATGGTAGGGTCAGCTTTGGGGGTTGTGGCAGGCTTGAAGTCCAGAATCTGGAAGAGACAGAGAGAAGGATTAGCTCTCTGAGAGGAGCTCTCTGATGGTGCAGCCCCGGAAGCTAGGAAAATGTTTGAATGGGTTGGAGGACTTACCCAGGCAATACCGATCCCTGTGTGTGGTTGACATCATAACCCGTTTGCTTGTCCACAGGCAGGAGTAACTGTTGGGGTGTCTACCCGTTTCCAGAGAGCCTTCCACTTAGATCCAGCTTGGCTTTCTGGTGAGTAAGAAAGAAGCCCGAGGAGGGGCAGGGGAGCTTCAGTACAGGGGTGAAGGCACTTACCTTGCCTGCAGCCGACACAGATTTCCATCCCCGGCACTGTGTAGGGGACACCCACACTACCAGGAGTGCCCCCTGAGCACTGCCGGGTATAAGTCTGCAGACTGTGAGGAAGTTGGGCGCAGGGAGGCCGCTGAGCTGGGGGAGCCAGAGTGGGGCTGGAAACTGTGGCTGCACATGGGGGTTCTGGTGGTCAGTCCCAGGGAAGGAGGCCTCAGTTCTGCACCTTGGAGCCCCGCCGGCCCCCTCCTGCTCATTGTCTCCCCTCTCGTTTCAGAAAGCACCCATGGGTGACGGCCTGCCACAGGAGATGGCGAGCACTAGTTCCCTGCGGGGCAGTCAGCCGCCTGGGCCCGAGGCCAAGCAGAAAGGGGATGCGGAGGGCAAGGGCGGGGCCGCCCAGAATCTGCTCATCGAGCATTTCTTCTCCTGCAAAGAGTGTGGGGATGCTTTCCGGCTCAAGGCTCTCCTGGTGCAGCACCAGCGCATTCACAGTGAGCAGAAGGGCTGGAAGTGCCACGATTGCGGCAAGATCTTCCGCAAGGTGGGCGACTTCAACGAGCACCGCAAGAGCCACATGCCCCCGCCGCCTCCACGGGCCCCACGCCCCGGCCCAAGCCAGGCTGCAGGCCCGGCCCCACGGCCCACCGCACCGCGCCCGGGCCCGCGGCCCGCAGCCCCGCGCCCAGCACCGCGCCCGGAGCCCCGCCCGGCCCCCCGCGCTGAGGCCCGCAAGCGTGAGCGCCCCGAGAGGGAGACCAAGGCCTTCAAGTGCGAGGAGTGCGGCAAACGGTTCAAGAAGAACGCAGGCCTGAGCCAGCACCTGCGCGTTCACAGCCGCGAGAAGCCGTGGGCCTGCGAGGAGTGCGGCCGCGCATTCAAGGTGGGTAGCCATCTCTTTCGTCACCAGAAGCAGCACGAGGCCGAGCGGCCCCTCGCCTGCAGCTCGTGTAGCCGCGGCTTCCTGGAGCCGCCCGAGCTGCTCAAGCACTCGCATGTGCCCGGCGCCCACCCGCCCTTCGACTGCGACGACTGCGGCAAGTCGTTCCGTGCCGTGGGCGGCCTGGCCGAGCACCAGCGCATCCACAGCGGCGCCAAGCCCTACGTGTGTGGCCACTGCGGCAAGCTTTTTCGCCGCAGCTCCGAGCTCACCAAACACCGGCGCATCCACACCGGCGAGAGGCCCTACACGTGCACTCAGTGTGGCAAGGCCTTCCGCCAGAGCTCCAGCCTGCTGGAACACCAGCGCATCCACACGGGCGAACGGCCCTACGCGTGCGGCGACTGCGGCAAGGCTTTCCGCGGGCCCTCCGACCTCATCAAGCACCGGCGCATCCACAGCGGCCTCAAGCCATATGAGTGTGGCCAGTGCGGCAAGGCCTTCTGCCGCAGCTCTGGCCTCAGCCGCCACCGCAGGACCCACAGTGGAGCCCGGCGCTGTGAGGGCAACCAGTGCAGCCGCGTCTCCAAGCGCCAGCCCAGCCACCAGGAGTAGGGGGGCAGCGGCCCCCCGGGCCGCTCCCCAGGCAGGGGGGTGGCAGAGTCAAGGGAGACGAACAGCGCAGTGAACGCTTCTGAGTTCACTGCAGAAAGGGTGGAACCAATATCTACTACTGCCACCAGCAATTTCTAAAGTGTCCGTGTTGTGCCCCGGGAGAGTCGCCTCGCCATTTCTGGATGGGTCTGGCCTTGGGTTCACTGAGGATGCAGGAGGGAGAAGCGGATGGGGCCTCTCCACTCTCCATCCCCCACCCTGGGAACCTGACCTCAGCTCAGTGTAATGCGGTCCCGACTTTCCTGAAAAGATCACCCCAAAGGTTTTTGGCCTACTTGAATTTCTCAATCAATAGGGATGTACATAGAGTACACAGATGTCTTATATTTAATTTATTGCTTTAGTTATGCAGAGACACTGTATATCACATAGAATAATATATTAACTTAGAAAGTGCCCCTCCCCCACTCCTTGCCCCAGATCAGTTTGGTCTAACTCCTCATGGTGTTTCTGACCCGTTGTCCTTACGTTCCCCAAGACCCTTTGGAGCCCTCACTTCCAAAGCACATCTAGGGATTTGCCTCCCTCTGAGCTCTGTGCCCTGTCGCGCTGACAATCCCCGCATAACACTAACTAGAAATTGCCCCCCCCACCACTGTGGGGTCCCAGTAATATTTTCTTTTACTCGTCCTCTTAACTTGACAGCATAGACACTTTGAAGGGTTTTTTGTGGGTTTTTATTTTTGGATTGGGTTTTTGAAAGTTTTTCTGTCATTTAAAACCTTGTCCCAGCGAGGTCACAATCTGAGGGATAACTACCAAATCAGGATAGAATTCCCTCTTTATCCTTTTTTCTTAATTGCGTCCAATTAAGGACGCAATTAAGGACTTGCCGAAGGATCCCAAACTAGCATCAATTGGGATTGGTTACAGGCTACTGAGGCTTAACCTCTAGCAACACTAGTTGTTCAAAGTAAATTTGTTGAGCGAGCAGCCCCCTGAAAATGGGGAGCGGCTCGAGTGTGAAATGAGACTTCCTTTTGGGGAACCATAGCTGCTCCTGATAAGGTCCTCGATGGTACTTCTCCGCCTTTCTTATTTCAGCTCAGTAAACGGGTGACCGCAGGACCTACTTCTAAGGTTGTTGAGACGACTAAGGTTTCACATCAGCAGGGAGGAACCTCAGCGGGAGCCCTTGCTGTCATCCCCGTCCTTAGCAGTGTTGGTCCCAAGCTCATCATCCTCCTCTCCTGTGATGACTTTATCCATATCTCTTCTTGAATGCAAGTTGTCCACTCATCTCCTTGGCCCAGTTACCTTTGGCTGTGTTAACTTGAGCAGTCCTTTCTGTATTGATTGTGAAAGTCTCTTCAATTTTCTTCCTTTGCTCTTTTGAGCAGTTTGGGGACATTTTTGTTTTGCCCAACTTCAGTTTTTCCCTATTGAAGCCTTCACTGTTGTTCAAGAATTAGTAAGTTTCATGGTTTCAGTCATTGGGTATGATGATACTTTCCTCCAGAATTTGATAAATGCCGAGTCACGGACAGTCGTGACCCAGCAGATGGTGGCGGCCAGTGATGGTCAGACAAGCAGGCCCACTCTGCACCCCAGTTGCAGACTCTGCATATGCAGGGCAGTACTACAGTCAGCTGGCCGCTCAGGTACAGAAGAGAAACTCCCATCACAGATTGGCCCAGACGCTTGGACCGTTTGTTAGTGGAGCCACAGCCTTCAGCCACAGGGCAGGCCCTCACCAAGATCAATGGGGTAGCCCAAACTTGGTCTTGGCAGCAGCCAGCCTGCCAGCCTTCAGTCTCCTAGGAGGGAGCCTTGGGCACCCCTGGAGCGGGGTTCTGTGCCTAAGAAGCAGCTTCACCCTGGAGACATCACCAACACATGAAGACTCACTCACCTGACTTGATGCCCTCACATGGGTCATAGCCACCTCCTAAAGAGCGACTCTGGAAGCAGAAAGCGAATGATTCAGTTGCTCTCGTTTTTGGGCACCCAGGGGGAAATTCACCCACGTGTTGTGACATCACTTCCTGCACAGCCGTGTCTGAGATGGCAACAGAGCAGAGGCTTGACAGAAACTGTCCCTCTGGCAGCTCAAATCCTGGTTAACAGAGGCAAACTACAACAGGCCTGAGCTGCGACTTGCAGCAACCATGCTCAAGAGGGGCACAAGACGAGGGCCCAGAAGGCACTTTGACCCTTCTGATGGCCCCATATGGCACAGAAGTCAAAGCTGGGCTTCCTGGGCTCAGGCTGATGCTCGCACACATCTCCCTTGGAGGGAGAAGCAACAAGGCTTGTCCAGGAGCCTGGCCCCGCCCAGTGGCCAGTGGAGCCTGCGGTGGAGGCCAGCTGGGTTGGGTGTCCTCCCAGCAATGCCTGGGGGGGACCAGAAGGCATGAACGAGTGGGCCCCTCCCATGGGCCTAAATGCGGTTGAGGCCAGCAGGCCTCCCATTCCGGGAAAATGGGGTCCCGCGGTGATCCCTTTGACACTAATCAAAAGGGACTCGCAAGTGGCCCTTGGTCACTGCAGTGGGTCCCTGAGGCAACTCAGTCCCTAGCCTCGGGCTAGAGAGAAGCCACAACACTTGTTACATAGCCATCCTGTCATTCCGTGGCTTCAGTCTTGCAGTGGTTGTGGATCGTGTCTGAAGTCACGTCTTTCCTCTCATCAGTTCTCTCCCTCTCACTCAAGCTGTTACACTGTGTTTGCTAAAACTGTCAGTTGGTAAAGATTGTTGACATCCCCAGGGGCAAGGCTGGCACCTTTACCCAGAAGTGCTCTGCCAGCACTTGCCCATTTGTGAGTGCTCGGTCATGTTTTCTGAAGGATCCGGATGCAGTGTTAGCTCTGCTCTTGAGCAGTGTCACTGCTTCATTCCTCCCCAGCCAAGACAGTGCTGTCTTGGTCTATCACTCTGCACTCCTCTACTGCTCTCCATTCTTGGTTCTAGAATGTTCTCTCCAACTCTCTTCTGGAGTTAACACTAAATACTACGTCTCTCCCATCACTGTGTTGGTGTGTGAAGTCTGTGCTCTCTCCAAACACAAGCAGTGTGTGGCTTCAACGTGTTCCCTATAGCTCCACCCACTTCTGTGTTGGCCTCTTGGTCCCTGGGGATATGTCAGATGCCAAATGGGATAAAGCTTCCTGTTGTGTGTGCTTGTCTATGCATTCGTGTATCTACCTCATTTTGTTCTCCTTCCCAGTCTCATATGGTCCTGTGGCAAGGGGCGCAGGGAGCAGAGGGGGGCCGAGGTCTGCTGCCTCTGCCCGTTTGAAATGCGTCCTTGTCCTCTGTTCTGGAGGACCCCTCCTATTGCTTTCAGTAGAGTTTTGAATACTTGCCGAAAATTTCGAGAGAAATTGTTTACCCTTTTTGCTGCTTATAAGATTAACTGTTGATTGTTTGTGTCCCATTTCCAGAATTAGCCCACCCTGTGGTGGCAGTGGGCATCTTTCTTGCGTGGTGCTGCAGTCCACGTTCCCTGGGCTTTGGCCCTATTGTGTGCCATGTGATCCCCACCCCCTTTCCAGACCACCCAGGTCCGACCGGAACCGAAGCCCAGACTCCAGGGCATCAACCAGCCATCAGAGCTGCCTGGAAACCCAGAAACCCGTTGATAGTTGGTGTTGGAAGAAAGAACAAGCCAGCCAGGACTTAGAGGGGCTATCCCTGCGGGCACCAGCTTGAAGAACTATAGGCCCCTGAACTGCCTCTATCCAGCACCATGAGTGGAGCCTGGCACAGCCGCCAGACTCCCCTGACTTCGAGGCAATTTGAGAGGGTTGCCGCCTGCCACGGTCCTCTGCAAGCCAATCGCTGCTTCCCTTCGGCTGCTTTCCGAGAACTGTGTCTGGTTTGCCTCCTGCCCTGATCTGGCCCACGCCCCACCTGGCTGTTGTAAACACCTGTCTCAAAACATTCCTGTGTGTGTTTGCTGGGATGGCCGAAAGCTCTGCCTTCGAGTCTCAAGAGAGCTGGCCCAATGCCTTTGTGTTGGGGTGTTGTTCCTGTACTGAGCCTGCCTTTGCCCCAGGAAATGAGTGAACCCGCCACTCTTCCTGTTTCTGATTCTGGATGGGCCTTGCTCCTTGCAGCCGATCCATGGAACTGGGGCCTTTTGGTACTAGTCTGCTTCTGTTCTGTGGTTCTCGCTGTATCTGTTCAGGTGTTTGCTTTCGGGTGTGGAAGTGGTCTATTTCATTGTGACCCCCAATACTGTATGCAGACCTGAGAACCAGCGCTCAGTTCCAGTGCCCACACCCCACCCAGCTCATGTTTCGGTTGCCAGCCCTCCTTCCTCCTGGCCTAACCTGTTTGTTCTATGGCACTTCCTATACTCAGCCTTGCACTAGAGCTTTTCCCCGCCCGTCCAGTTGTGAGCTCTTAGAGACGGGATGGTCCTTCGTGTCCTGCTCCCTAGCAGAGCTAGCACAGTGCCTTGCACCATGTAGTTTTGAATAAATCAATGTTGGATGAACACCTTGGGCTCTTTGGCCTTCTTTCTCCTCCTTTGCTGCTTGCCCCCACCGGACCCTGTGGCCCCCCGGATGCCGTGCCCTGAACTGAAACTCTGCCTCGGCCACGGGGACCCATCACCCGACATCCCTGTCCTGCTCAGGCCTCTCCCCTGAGTCCATTCCAGGCTGGACCCCGAGCAGCACCCCGAGGGAACGGAGAAATGGGGTGGCAGAAGGAACTTCTAGGACTTGGGGGTCTGCCAGCCTTCCGTGGCTGCGTGAGCAGGATGACTTCTCCCCTCTTGGTGACCAGGGCCTCGTCTCCTGCTCTGCTGTGTCCCCACATGGGGGAGGTCAGCTCTGGCCTGTCCCTCAGCAGCTCCACCTCCTGCCACATTGGATGTCGGACGGTTTTGTCATAGCTCTGCTCCGTTGCCATTTCTTTGGCAAGAACCGTTCCTTCGGGGCTTTCCCAACACCCGAATTCTAAAAATTCCTCCCAGATTTTCCTCCAAGCATGTGCAAACTCTTCTGGTAAGGTTCGTTGTGCCCAGTCAAGGCCAGAAGTCTGGAAAGCCAATTCTTGGTTCCCGAGGGGAGGGCACAGCCTGGGCCATTTGCCTGGGAGTAGGGGCTGCAAATGTTCCTGGTGCCCTTCACACCCAGGGCGCTTCTCCAACACTCCCCTCCTCTGAAGTATCTGAAGCCTATTTTTTTATTTATTTGGGGTAAGGACATAACCCAGTGACACTCGGGTCATTCGTGGCTCAGCACTCAGGAATCACTCCTGGTGGTGCTTGGGGGAGCGTGCAGATTGCCAGCCATCAAACCTGAACTGCTGTACTAGCTCTCCAGTCCCCCGAGGCCTTTTGCCCAGGTCCCCCCACTCCACATTGTCCTAGCCCACCTGAGCAGACCACTGGTCTGCGCCCCCGCAGTGGCCTCAGCACACCCCTCGTGGTTGGAGGCTCACAGGCAGGGTGACTTTCTCCCAGTTCTGAGCACTGCAAGTCCAAGATCAGCATGCCCACAGTGGGGTGTCCAGAGTGGGCCCTCTTAGAGACTCCAGCTACTTCGTTGGCTTCCAAGGCCTCAGAACACACTCCCCACTCCCAAGACCTCGCTCTGACTTCTATCCTCACACCATCCTAAGAGGGTTAGAGTGTCGGGGACTGGCCAGGCCCAAAGCTTCTGTCCCCAACACATCACTAGGAATCGGGGATTCAGCTTTATTGAGGAATGGCCACACCC